GTATGAGAAAGGAAAAGTTTAATACAACACGGGACTCGTCGTGCAAAACTTGAATCAGTTGACAAATAGAAAGCAAGAGTCTGTGAATTTTGGATGGCAGACCGACTGGTTTTGGGAAGATTGTAACAAATAACTAAATGTTGCAAATCAAAATTTCGCTTCGGAGTACCAGCTATCTGGTTGGATTGCGCCACGTGTACTCTACTGGGACCTCGGTTCACTTTGAAGTGCACCTCTGTTATTCCAAACAAAAATAATTGTTTATTCTCGTCGGTGCAACGCACGGCTGCAAAGGCATGCTCATGGTTTATACAGGCACGTAAGGTCGATTGTTGCACAAATGTTACAAAGTAAACAGCTACACACTGTATTCATGTATATAAGTATGTCTTGTGGCAGTCCTGTGGCTGCCGCCATGACACGCAAATCCAGAATCGGATGACGGCAATCACATACGTATAAGTAATCATGTTTGGTAAATTTGTTAGTCTTACTCGGGTTATGTGATTTAGTTTATTGAATTCGTCAATCTAGGGATGCAGCACCGGGGGGCCCTTCGAATTTGATGACGTGTGTGAAGTGGATTAGGTCCTCCGGGAATGCGAGAGTTAGTAATAGTAAATAGTGGCGAATCACACCTACCCCGCCTCGGTGTTGTTAAACAGACAACTTTTTAGGAAGAACACTTGCTAGGCGGAAAACCACCATGTACTGAAACACTAATGCCTAGCCATTCGCTGGAACAGGATTAACCCGAACCACTCAGCGGGCAGCAGAAGAAGGCTGTTGGGTTGGTCGGGGTTGTTCGCCTAGCAACGATGTACTGGGTGCTACTAAAGCTTAACACTATATTTCACCACAGGTTTTGTACTTACTTGCAATTTTTATGTCTGCTACTTATCTGGCAACACTGGGATATCAGCTGTTTTCCCTACTCTATAACCACCGATTGACTGTGTACAAGGCTTTCCAACCTGACCAGGGATGGGTGAGGCTAGTTTATAAACACTCGTTGCGCGAGTAGAATGAGACGCGCAGTTTCAACCTGGACAGAGATTCAGATGTTATAAAACTTCTGTCGATTTGGCCACTGAGATCTTTTTTGAAGTAGATTAACCTATTCTAATAAAATGCGAATTCCGGTCAACTACAATATTAGGTACTTCAGTCCGCACATCTAAAGGGGAAACGGGCAGATCCAACCGACTTGAAAGTACTGAATAAGAAACTAAACTATAGTACACATTTAACCAAAGGCATAATTATTACGTGGCTTGCATGGAGTGAAAAAAGAACCTCCTCGGAAAGAAAAGAAACATACTTGGTCACTAAGAGAACCAGGTTGTCCGTGTGTCACTAGTTAGGTGCAGTAATATGTTACAATCTAATCTGAGAATTCATAGTACATTTGGTTGTTAAGTAATTTTTAGTTTACTTCTGAGGTGCCCCCAGTTTGGCTTAGAGCAGTAACGCGCACAGAATTTAAACGCGGTCGCAGTTTGCGTAATCAGGTTACAAAGTTAACTTCTTACCGTGTATGCTAATAGCCATCAGATGCTTTCGCTGATAGATCATCACCGAGTTTCTTTCGCAACCATACGCCTAGTGACATTTCACAATCTACATCCAATAAAACCCTAAAATACATGTGATGAGAGCCATAAATTACTCTGAACTAGCTTGTACGATATATCTGTTACAATCAGTGGTACACAAAAGTGCCAACGGAATCGTGGCTAAATATGAAAACAGTATCGGAATAAGAAGAAGAAATTCAGGCACCTATTTTATCCAGTTCACCACTCACCGTTTTTGGGTTTGCTTACAGTAGGTTTTCTTATGGGTGGGTAAACGAATCACCACAAGAAGCGGAGATGCACGTCCACAAATGTGGTTGCTCTTGAAACATGACGTTTCGGTTCTCAAACCAGCGACAATCTAAAGCAGAGAAGTGAAAACAGACGATAGATACAAACCCTTTTGTCGGCTTTTTATTGCCGCTTCTCAAAGGCTTTGGCTGCCTGGCGCGCCGCCTACTCCAGCCCTACTTAAAACCCGCTTATTATGCACAGGGTGAATCACCTTAAACGGGCTTGTGCAACGCCTCTGGCATACGCTACAACAAACGCAACTAAAACAACACTTGAGTAACCAATGGGATCAAATGTACTTGATAGTTAGTACCCGTAACTCGTCCAGTGGAGATCATCACAGTCTTGGTGGTTGCACACTCACCTTTTCTGTTCAACGACGTACAGTTTCCTAGTGTCCATAATCCACCTGATGACACCAGGCGAGTAGACATCTTCGCAACGTTGGTGCGACCTAATCATACACAACAAGTGCTACTTGAAATAGACTTGTACAGCCCAAACAAAAAAGATATACGTTATGTGTCCCACGAGCCGTTGCGAACACTACAGTTAGGTATTTGTCATTTGCCTGCTTTTATTGGAGTTAACAGAAGTTGGTTTCTTGCGGCTGGGTCATTATTTCAAACTAATGAAATGTGACCGTACTGAAAGCAATATTTCGCGCATCAAGCCAAAAGGGGTTAGCTTCGGGATGCATGAGTCCGAGGTTAGGTATCCACGCACAAATTCGCGTGCGCTACGCTACACAATTTGTGTATCACCCGATCATCCTACATGAAGTAAAACGGAGCACTGAGGAAACGAGTGAGTGAACAGCTCGCTTTGATTTACGGTAAAGTTAAATCTGCACAGTCAATCGCACATGACCTGAAGACTATATTTTCACATAGAAAGTATACTTGCCACACTTATAAGCATGAACTTCGTGTTGGATTGTTCCCTTTACGTTTGCAAACCACGCATGGGCAATATGGCCTTGTTGCAATTTACCGCCATAGGATACGAAGGCTTAATAGGCACGTAGTGGAATGGTTACAAGGTGTATACCCATCAAACACTAGTTATTCCATCAAATCACTTTCCAGTGAAATTAGATGTGGGACTTCCATATATGTACAATCGAACACAGCAGTACGATTGTTGGCTTCGTTCAGCTAACAAGCAAATATGCACCAATATTCAACGACAAGCAGGTAGAACAGATAGGTGTTGCTAATGTGTAGTGCGGAGTTTGGTTTAATTCAGAGATAATTCATTATTGTCCACTCTTAGTCAGTAGGTTTTGACAAGTTTGGAAGAGCACCAGACAGTGCTGTTTCGACTTTCCGGATCTCATATGTAGTGCGCCTTCCATTAGAGCCCTTTAGTGTTCCGAATCTATGACTTCCGGATGCCAGCCGCTAGTGCCACCCATTAGTAATATAAAGGCCTGTCCGTATAGCTTCTAAGTACTATGCCGTACATAGGCGCTAAGTGGAAATTCCTAGCTCGTGTGGCTAACGGCTGTCCTCTTCACAGTTCGTAACTGGCGTGGCAGTGGAAGATGAGCCGGCCCATATCACAGTTAACTGGCAATCAAGCAGCTTCGCGGCTGTCACCCATGGCGAACTGGCATTAGCTGCCGGCACATGGAAGTAATGGAGTGGGAAACCGGCCGGGTTTCGATGGAAGGCGCACCACTGACGAGACCCAGAATGTCAAACCAGTATTGTCTAGTGCTTATCCGGTATTGCAAGAGCCTGCTCACTGAGACTGGTCCAGGGTGAATTATCTCTGAGATATATAGTGCAAGCTAATTTTGAGACAACCTCCTTGTGGTGTTTCGGGTAAATCCCGTTCCAGCAAATGGTTCGGCGGCAGTGTTCCAGGATGTGGTGAGATCTCGCCTGGCAGGCGTTCTCCCTATAAAATACTACAAGTATCCGTTTAACAACACTGTGACGTGGTGGATGTGACTCGCCATTAAATAAAGTCACTGCTTCTTCCCTTTTCTGGAGGATCATTCACACATAACGAACGTCGTCCGATTCAAAGCGTTCCATTGATTCCCCACTTTGATGACGAACACAACGAACAAAAAAACACAGTCACATTTACCTACACACACAACATGTCCCCTTCCAACTACACAGTTAAACATAGTTTTACACGTCAACACACATAAATTCCTATGCTATTTGTCAAAATGTACTAATTTGTGCAATTGCCGATCACACATGTCTGTAGTACCATGATCACGCCCTTGATGGTGTGCCTCGCAATGACGAGAATAAACTGTTTATTTATTTATTTATAAGCGTGTTTATTTCTATACCTACCGCCTCACTTTCCCGCTAGGTATAGGGGTCAAATAGTTTAAACAAGGACGTATATACACCTGCGAATCCGAATGCATTTCCGCTCAGGGGCATTTTGTGACAATTTTGTGTCTTCTTTGAATCCCAAAATCACTGCGTCAAGGCTCAGAGCAGACACTCGTCGGACGTTTATCTGACTCTAATCAGACTCCCATTAGACGCTCGTAACATGGCTAACGCTAAATATTTTCAGGGGAAAAAGTCCCTACTGATAAGACATAGTTCAACTGGGCGTCTTCCAGTATTCCACTTTGTTACGTTTACTGATAAGTAATATTGATCCGCTTTGGGGATGTTTGTGTTTCAACTAACTACAGAAAATTTTTAAGCTAAAAATAAATTCGTATTTCTATTAAAAAGCAAACAAGTAACTTACGCTTGGTGAGGTAACGTGCGCTGGGACGGAATAAACCAAAGTGCCTAGATTTAAATAACACTTAATAAATTTAAAACTGCACGGCATCATGTCGCAAGTGCGCTGCTTGCGGAGTTTCATTGTTGAAAACTATCCATGAATATAAGCTTAAGCAACGGATTAGTGGTGTCTGATCGCAAACCTCATTACGAGGCGTTAAAAATACATAAATCAATATGGTTGCTACTTCTGAGTTGAGCGAGGTTGTCATGTGTATATTTACGCGACTTGCAACCAACTACCACATAACACGACTGGGCTGTAATAAAGAATCAATTTGCATCTTAACTAGCACAATGATGAGATAGGAAATTTCACCTAGTTGCACCTTTATCTTTTACGTGCTTCTCGCAGGTTCTTCTCGGGGAGGAGGGATTTTCTATGGACCGGTCTATGAAATAGTCATCCACGTCTTCCTGGAAGTTTCCTGATTGCTCGTATTAGTTGAGAGAAGTTAGTGCTGGTGAGAAAACTCGAACCCTTTGTTTGTGGAGCATTTCTAAAATAGACGAAAATGTGAAAAAGAAGCATCCTTGTTTCGGTTTGGCAATTCCCCGCCTAGTCAACGCACGTACTTATAAAATTCCTTTTGTTAACACAAATACTATGGCCCACTCGTATTTAATCCATTATCTTATTTTTGCTGTTTTGTTCATTTATTCCATTCTACCGATCATACAACTGTCACAGCGCATGTTATTTTCAAAGATACTTTCCGGTGAAACCGAATATTTCAGCAAAGAATCAATGGAAAATCTTGGAATGCTTTAAGCAGTTATCTAACGCGGTAGTTAAAGAAAGCCAGGACAACCAAACAACTGCATGTAATCCGGCGCGCGACTGTATGAGCTAACTCACACTGCGCGTATATGTAGCGAGAAGAACTGTACGCTTTTTACAAAGTCTAAGCTCTCCTTCATCGCACACGGTCATGTAGAGCTATAGTGCAGAATAAGTCAACGTTTGCATTGTATCTATGTCCTCTCATTAATAAAGACCAAGTGAAAATATCTAATGCTATGATTAGGTATCATTGATAGCGCTTGACAGACCGGGGTTGAAGCCAGCAAGATCACTACTCATTCCATAGATATCAAAGCATTTTACTTCTCTAAGACTTTCTAGCTTGGAGTTACTAGATCTTCCCTCAATTTGTCACTTTAGGTCGACGTACTCTAACTAGCACTACACAAGCCCAAAACTATGTTAAAGTAACTGGATGGCCAGTGTTCCCGTTTAAGCAAGATTTCGGTCACTTGCAAAGAGAAAAGTAAAAAGTAAAATACTACATTTATATACCCGCCAGTCTTTACTTATTTGCCGTTACTTTTTAATTAAACGTACTTGCTTTAGCTCGATTAAAGGATAGACTGCCACTGCATGGCCGATTTGTGTCTGTTGTCGCTCGAATGACTTGTACTGGAACGCATACCTGTTCCTCAAAATTATTTTCTGTGTATCCACGCGACCGTAACGGGAGTTAAGTGCCAGTTGAGGATAGATTGTTCCCTTCTTGTGGATGGTATTTTCAATCAGAACAGTTAGTTCACTGAAGGTTAAGCTGCGCTGTAAGACATTTATCTGTTTGACTAAAATTCGTCCCAAAATTATATCCCTTGGACGTCCAAGGTTTATAAAGACGCACACAGAAGGTTGAAAACGTCACTCCAGTGGAAAGTTTTGGTCCCTCGTGTTATGCTGGGCTGACCCTGAAATAGGTCCGTATATTAATGCAATCATGTTCCGCATCTAGTGAGAACCAGCGTCAAATTTTTACAAAATATCATATTTGTATTTATGCTATTGTGCTAACACACGGGACGCACACATGTGGATGGTTATTTTTACGTGTTACTGGAAAGGTATCTAAGTCCCAGTTTTGTAAAATTGGGCTTTAAGGAGACTGCAGTCATAAACAGTTGCATACATCGAGAATGTTATCAGGTTTTACGCAATAAGTGTTTCCCTAATGAAACATTATTTATTTTTATTACTTCTACGCGTCCAGAGATTTGGCATCCACAAAAAGCAAGCATATTGAGTAGGATTAAAATTGCCATTTTGCAACTACGGATTTTGATGAATAAATTTAGGTTGCGAAAATTGCGTATAAATGATGCTGTTTTGACAAATAAACGCAGGCTATACGTACGGTTTATGCAGAACACTGCCTCTAAAGAGTGGAATAGTGCATGAGGCGAAACTCACCGCCAGGTTGGTAACATGCAGACAGAGGGCTTAACCTGATAAGCATAACAATAAGGGACCGACCGTCGCACGATACTTCAACGTTTAAGTTTAAGTTCAGTTTGGACAGGAATGGTAGAAACTTCCCATGGGTGTTCCTTTTTTATACTTCTTTGAAACAGGATACAGTTCGCGCGATCGATTTGAAATCGAGGAGATCCAAATAAATATCCATAAATCGCATCACGGTCAACCAATCAATGCCCACGCAGCCCGCACTAGTAGTCCCTAGTGTACAGGCCACGTGAATAAAAATTTCTAAGATAAGGGAACCAACAAAAACAGAATAACCATAATTGTAGTACAAGATGAAATGTGTAGGTGAGGCGATAGTGGTAATAAGGGGCGAGAAGTCAAGGGACTGGATATGGAAGTTAAGAAGCAAACGGGAAGTCTGAACCTACAAACCAAGGGCATCGAGTCTAGGTTTAAACTCCCTCACCATTGGTGCTAATACGACTTTGCTGGGTAGTGCGTTCCATGAACCGACAACCTGCGTGATAAACGGAAACCTGCTCTACCGTGATCGGAGCCGGACGTATGCAGCTTCAGAGGGTGACCACGGAGAGATGGTATCTCAGCCCGATGGAACAGTCTGGTTAGGTAAGGCCCAATGTTGCCGCGCACTATACGGTAAGTAAGAACCTGGACTCGCCGAAGGCGCCTATGGTGCAGCCAATAAATTTGCAACCAGAGCAGTCTATCGGGAGACGAGAGGTTCCTCAATCGTTGCACCATTGAACACTGAATACTGTATTATAGAGCAAGTAGAAATGGATTCCGTACAACTCTTTCGAAATATGGTGAAAAACGTTATAAAAGTTGTCAACCGTGAATATCATTGTCGTTCTCATGTAATATTTAAAATATTCGACTTACGCTATTTCAGGACTCACCAATGTGATGTCCTCGTAAGTGTGCAATCGTTCTCTGAATCGAATAGTGGCAAAATACAAATCTAACAACGTTTTGAACTGTTGCACAGCTGTTGCCCCAATCACATGTTCAGGCAAACTGTTCCAAATGTTTACCACTCTCCGTTCGAAGCACAGTGGGTGGGGAACACATTTCACATCCGGCACGACAAGTTTGTATCTGTGTCCGCGTGTGCTGCATGGCCCTCGTAAGTGCAGCATTGGCCTTAGCATTGGGAAGTCACCGAGATGTAGAATCCGGTAGATCATAATGAGGTCGACCCGCACCCGAAGGTAGGACAAGGTGTAGAGTCCTAGTTTCTCGCATCGGTCTTTATACCCAAAGCCACGTAAACTCGGGATGAGCCTGATAGCAACGTGTTGGACCCGTTCGATATTTGTGCTTCGCCTCGGGTAATCGGAAAGTAGGCGGGCGAACCGTACTCTAGCATTGGTCTAATGATGGAAGAGAAGAGGCGAGTAGCAACCTCTTCAGACCATGTGCCGAAGCTATGTTTGAGCGCCCAAAGCATGCACAGTCCGTTACGATTTAGCCTGTTCGTGTTGTCCACGGACTTCAAATCGTAGCGTGAGAGTACACCTAGGTCTTTCACGGAGGGTGTGGGATATAGCGTTTGGCCGTCAAGGGTGTAGGTTCGGCCATTAGCACCCTTCCCCAGGCTCATAAATACAGACTTGGCTGGGTTGACCGGGAGAAGAACTTCTGCAGACCATATGGATAGGCGGTTTATGTCTTGCTGAAGTAGGCCACAGTCATCGGGAGCGTCGATTTCTCTCCAAAGCTTCATGTCGTCCACAAACAAGGCGCACGGCGACCGGAGAAGCTGCGGTAGATCGTTGATGTGGATCAGGAACAGAGTGGGCCCCAGCACAGTGCCTTGAGGCACACCACTTGTAAAGGGGTACCAGTCAGTTAGCTGATCATCGACCTGTACCCTCCACTTTCGTCCAACAAGAAAGTCGCGGATCCACCGGTGCAGTGACGCACCGACACCACACAAGCTGAGTTTGTGAAGGAGAACCTCATGACTGACCTTGTTGAACGCTTTACTGAAATCGATGAATATCACGTCGACGGACTTTCCCTTGTTTATTGCCTTCAACCACTCATGCCTCGTCACAAGCAGGTTCTTAATGCATGAGCGACCTTGCATAAAACCGTGCTGTGCGGGCGTCAGGACCTCTTTTGACTGTAGCAACTGCAGCAATTCCTTCTTCACGGTTTTCTCGGAAACCTTTGCCAGAATAAATGTCAGACAATTTGGCCTGTAATTGTCTACCTTGCTGTTGTCGCCGCCTTTCGGAATAGGCTTCACTACCGAACATTTCCAGTCAACCGGCAACAAACCTTCGGACAGCGACCTGTTTAAACGGTCAGTCACGATAGGAGAGAGGATGGTTGAAAGTGACTTGAGAACCAGTGGGTGAAGCCCATCAGGTCCGGCAGGTTTGGTGCCGTCAAGGTTGCAGAGTAGTTGAGCTACCTCTTCAACGCCGCAATGCAGACTATCGAGTTCCGTAAAAGCGGTACACGTGTAACTCGGAACAGGCACCTGGTTATTCGCAAATACAGAAGCGAAGTGCGCCGCCGACGCGGACGCACGCTCAGTGCTGGAGGTTAGGGGTTGTCCATCCGTGCCATCCAGCACGGGCACATCACCTGACGGCTTCAGGCATCGCTTCACGTATGCAAAGACTCTCTTGGGGGCGGTCTTCGCGGCTACTGCGAGTTGCTCTTCGAAACGTCGGCGTTTATTCTTTTTTGCACTGTTGCAGAGGTTTCGCTGACATTTATACCCTTCATAATCACTGGCAGAGCCGGAGAGGAGGAATTTGTCCCACAGTCTGCGCCGCCACCGAGTCAGGTTCCTATACTCCTTGTCAAACCAACGAGGGTTAATCGGTCCAACCTTTCGACATTTCAATGGCACAAATTGGGAACACAATGATGTTAATCTCCCTTTTATAAATATCCAACAATCTTCCACAGATGCAGCTTGTGACAGAGACCAATCCATTTGGCTCGCGGCTCGAGCTAGGCCATCGAAGTCCGTTTTCCAGTAGTTGGGAGCTGGTTGCAGCGGATGTGAATACGACAAAGATAATTCCACATCAGCTATCATTACTGAGTGGTCGCTCGTAGCCAGGGGCTCCAGGATCCTAACATCACGCACTTGTTGTTCGTAGCTCGTCAACATCAGGTCGAGACAGGACGAGGTT